GTTTCCCTCTCATTTTTCCCAGTTTTCCCCTCATTTTTAACTCATTTTTCCCCTCATTTTTCCCCTTTTCCCCTCATTTTTTCCCCTCATTTCCCTCCCATTTTTCCCCATTTCCCCCCCATTTTCCCCCCTAATTTCCCCATTTTTCCCCAATTTCCCCCAATTTCCCCCATTTCACCCCATTTTCCCCAATTTCCCCATTTTTTCCCCATTTCCCAGGTCCTGGCCAACGGCCTGGACAACAAGCTGCGCCTCCCATTTTTCCCCATTTCCCCCCCATTTTCCCCCCTAATTTTCCCATTTTTTCCCAATTTCCCCCAATTTCCCCCATTTCACCCCATTTTCCCCAATTTCCCCATTTTTTCCCCATTTCCCAGGTCCTGGCCAACGGCCTGGACAACAAGCTGCGCGAGGACCTGGAGCGCCTGAAGAAGATCCGCGCCCACCGCGGCCTGCGCCACTTCTGGGGGTAAAAACCGCGATTTCGGGCAAACCCGGACCTGCCCCGGCCGGGACTGCCCCCCCCATTTCCCAGGTCCTGGCCAACGGCCTGGACAACAAGCTGCGCGAGGACCTGGAGCGCCTGAAGAAGATCCGCGCCCACCGCGGCCTGCGCCACTTCTGGGGGTAAAAACCGCGATTTCGGGCAAACCCGGACCTGCCCCGGCCGGGACTGCCCAAACCCGCCGGGATTTTGGGGCTAAACCTGACGTTTTTGGCTTTTTTCTGCCCCGCAGGCTGAGGGTGCGCGGGCAGCACACCAAGACCACCGGGCGGCGCGGGAGGACCGTGGGCGTGTCCAAGAAAAAATGAGGGGAAAAGAGGAATTCCGGGAATTCCGGGAATAAAAGAGGATGTTTTTGGAGTCAAGGAGTGGGGTTTTTTGGGGGGAAATGGGGGAAATTGGGGAAAAATGGGAGGGAAACGAGGGGAAAAAATGAGGGGAAAAATGAGTTAAAAATGAGGGGAAAAATGAGTTAAAAAATGAGGGGAAAACTGGGAAAAATGAGGGAAAAAAATGAGAGGGAAACGAGGGAAAAAATGAGGGGAAAAAATGAGGGGAAAAAATGAGAGGGGAATGAGTTAAAAATGAGGGGAAAACTG